CTTCTCCCTCTGACCCTCCTCCCTCTCACGCTCTCTGTCTCTCATTCTCTCTCTCTCAAATAAATAAATAAAATCTTTAAAAAAAAAAAAAAAAAAGAACAGGAGAGGAGCTCCAACCCTCTGAAAGCAACCCCGGGGAACTGAGAAGCCCACTGACGGCAAAGGACACCAGCATGACCCCATCCCACCCTCGGCGCTCCCACCCCAGCACATGTGCCCGGGGCACAGGGAAGCAGGGCGGCCTGGGGCCCCAGGAAGGGGCACCGCAGCAGCAGGGACGCGAGTGAGCCTTTCCGGGGGAAACAGAAACTGATAAAAAGTGGCAATCACACAGGGATGGGCTCTTGAGGGGGTCCCTGAATCTCCTTTCTAGCGAATTCCAGAACCCGGGGAGAGTCCCATCAGGCCAGGTGGCTCATGGGGAAGTCCTGGCTACCAACGGTAGTCCTAGCACTGGAACGGACTTCTCCGCACTTGCAACAGCAAATACAGAAGTCCCCCTGCATTTCATAAATCATGTATTCACAGCACATTTCCTCAAACACCCAGTCCCCGATGATGCTTCTCCGATAAATTAAGCAATAAATATCTTCTGATGTTTCCCATCAGCAGGTGGAAATGGGCTCCTCCGGGCAGTCCGGGAAGCGGCTGTCTGGCTGAGCCTGTGCAAAAGCCCTGGGCGGGGGGGGGCGCGTGGTGCCGTCCTTGGAGAGTGCACGGAGACTGGGGACCCCCCGGGTTGCACGCAGCACAGAACCAGCTCTTCCTTCGAGCCCTCAGCCTCCATCCATCAGAAGACATAATGGTCCCCATCCCAGCCTGCCCGTGCGGGACACAGGGGTGGAAAGGCCCTCGTGGCGCCGTGTTGGAGGGACCAGGCCTGTCCCGTCCGGCCCCCCACCCCCACCCCGCACTGAGCTGGCACTCGGCCACTGCGCCCGGACACTGGAGAAGACCACTCACCTTCCCAAAGTCTCGGACGTCGAAGAGGTCAAAGGGGTCAAACAGCTCGCTGTTTCTCAGTCCAAATTTATCGTGGCAGACTTTAAGGAAGGTGCGGATGTTCTTCAAGCACAGGAACTAGAGAAGAGAAGAAAAGAACGCTGAGCCTGTAGGGTCTGTAAGAGCGGCCGTCACCGCAGCAAACTCTGGCTTCCGGCTGCCGGCAGAGACGCGCACTCGGGCCCTGGGAAGCCTCAGCCCCGCCGGCCCGCTGGTCCGGACGCCACCAGAATCCCCGGCTCACCTTGGCCACTCATGTCCCTTTGTCCCGCACCCCCACCCAGAGGATCCCCCGCAGATGATCGTGACTGGAAATATGCTGGTCTTGAGTCAGCAAAAACAGCACGAACACACGCACGCACGCACACTTGCATGCACACACTCACTGCCTTCCCCGGCACAGACCTGCCCCCGTGGAAGCTGTCCTGTCCATGGAGGACGCCGGGAACGGCACACACCAGTCATGGCGGGAGCCTAGAGGACGCACCAGAGCCAGAGTTCCCAGATCCACATCCGGGGCGTCTCCTCCACCCAGCAACCCCACATCTGAGCTCCCACCCGCACTGCGCTTGGCGAAGCAACTGGGGCGGGAGGTTTGGGGTTGGGAGCTGAACGGGATCGCTGGCTGCAGTCCCCGTGGAGAAGGAGCTGGTAAAGAAGGCATGGGGGCAGCAGACCAGGTGGCCTGGAGAGCAGGATTTGGAGTGGCTCAGCCCCAGGTTCAAATCCTGTCCACTGATTCCCAGGAATTTGCAGGACCAGGGACAGTGGCTTCGGCTCCTGAGGCCGGCTTTCCAACCCATGTCTCGCTGGGTTGTGTACCCTGAGGGAACCGTGAGCGCTTGGGTGTGGTAGCGACGGCCCACCAGTCCAGTTGGCAAGGGCGTCCCCGAGGCAAGGACAGCGGCATGCATGGTGCGGGGTCCTGGAGCTTCAGAGCGCTCGTCCTCATCAACAGCCACTCCCTAAGGGCCCAGGGCAGCAAGACAAGTAGAGTGTGTGCCACCCACCGGAAACGCAAATGCAGGGACAGAGACGAAGGGCAGGCTGCAATCACAAGCTACGGCTGGCCCAGCATAAACCGAGCGGCATCTCACCTGCCCGTGTGCCCCCCGCGGGCCGTGCCCACCCCCGGCCCCGGAGCTGGGCTGGGCCGCTCCTCCCGCCCCGGCCACGGCTGGTCCCCGGTCACGGCCGACACAGACTCACTGGCTTCGTGTGCGTACGGTGTTTTCTGAACCAAGCAAGAGCAAACCGCAGATGCGACCCCCCTGCCCCCCCAAACATCTGAGGGCACCCAAGAACAAAGACTCCCTCTTCCACAATCAGAGCACCCACGTCAGCAAATCAAAGTGGATCCCACACGTCCTCGTCTACAGATGGTACTTCCTCACGTTTCCCCAACAGAGGACAACCATGATGTCCTGACAGCAAAGAACATTCTGGCCCCAGGTCCAATGATGTTTCTTGTCATTTCTCTTTCATCTCCATGAGCCTACCACCAAATGCCCCCACAGAACTTTCCAGAAGGATGGCTGCATTCTGTGCACCTGCTGTCCAGCTGGGTAGTCACAAGACCCACGTGCTCACTGAGCGCTGGAGATGAGGCTAGTCCAACCGAAACACTACATTGTCAATTTTATTCTAATTAACTTAAATTGAACAGCTACGGCTGCCGGTTTGGGCCTCAAATGCTCCTCAGTCTTGTCCTCTGTGACCTGAAGCTTCTGGATCATATGGACACAAAAGGACAGACACGGTAGGAGCCCACTGACACGAGGCCGAACTCCCAGAGACGGTCAGAACAGTGGCGCCGGCAGGGGAGGCTGGGGAGTCTGTGTCTCCTGGGGACGGCTGCAGTTTGGGACGATGAACAAGTTCTAGAAGTGACACAGATGATCGTGACCTAACACGATGAAGGCACCTAATGCTACCAAATTGTACATGTATTAAAAATGCTTAGTGCTGCTAAATTCCTATCTTTCAATAGTTACCCTGAATGTAAATGGGCT